ATTATGCAACTTAAAAACATTAATTCAAGATTAAATCAACATTACGAGCCGCTGTCAGAATTAGGTTACATTCCTCCATTTCCCAACCAGCTCTGAGGTAATAAATAGGGTCACACTGCAGTCGTGTTAACACATAACGTCCCACAATCTGCATCAATCTTGACCAAACATCGTAGCACAAAGCTAATTTACGACGTTTATCATTGCTGGTTGTCACGAACGAAGACAAGGACAGGTAACTATTTGTGTGTATTGTATATGTATGTATATGACTCCCAACAGTCAAATTGTCATACAATTTGTTATTTATCTCATGGAATAATGACTGATCACCGACCTTATAATGTTTGATATTTTAAACAAGCCTCCTAACGTCTGAAACAAGTGGTACTGTGAAACGTTTTACTGATTATATTTTCATGCTATCAGGGTCAACATGTTTGGACATTTGCTGTTCATTGTAGTTTTAAAACTGGAATGTCTCCTGCCAGCTCCATAAGCAGGTTATGTGCATTGATGGTGGAATTAGTTCATTTTAGTTGTCATGTTTTCGGAAACATATATGTCCGTCATGGATATATTTCCTCTTCTGTTTTAGACATCTGTGTCCATTCTGTGACGTTGTAACAGGATGTTGACTGAGATTATACTGGGGGCAGCCGTTGTGCTGTTTATCGCCTACATTTATCAGTGGAAACGGAAGTATAGCAAGATGCCTCCTGGTCCAAAACCACTGCCAGTTCTGGGCAATTTCCAAGAAATAAAAGACTCTACAATGCTCAATGATCTCACTAGATTGGGTCTCGCAATACGATGGCATATATCACCGTCCATTTGTTAATGGAACCTGTACTCATTTTGGACCAGTTCCACATCATAAGGGACCTCCTTCTTTCTCCTGCATATGCTGACATCTTTAGTGGAAGGGTTAATTCATACATTAGCAAGTATTTGCTTCCGGATGATTTTTTTTTTTCCAGACGGCCAGTGACACACAGCAATACCTGAGAAAACTGACCTTTCGAGGAATAAAACAATATGGAACTGCACTGAAAAACGTTGAGCATCTTGCCCAAGCAGAAATACAAGAAATGATCAACAGGTGCAGAGAACGAAATGGAGTCTCTTTTGACCCGTGGAATGACCTGAACCAATATGTCAGCAACGTGATCTTGGTTTTGGTAAGTTGGTGCCTTCTTCTGAAGAATTTTCAGTAATAATTAGGAAACATTGTGTTTATCCGTAAATGGCACTAATGATGAATTGGGTGTCAACTTCCGCAACATAATTTCCATATTTAATGCATCAGTGACAAAAAATAATGTCCAATGCAATTCCCTATTTTGACTTATACCGTACGTTCCCGAATTACTTCAGGTGATTAATTGACTGAACTTAGCATACATTTATGACGAGTCACCTTTTCGCGAACACCTGGTATCATCACTATTTCATAGTTATTCATAAACACATGCTCTGTTATCGCATCACATCGTGACAATCTGACTCGATTTCTTTACAAACAACATCGTACAGCTGTAATACTGCGGAAACAAATATAAACTCATGATAGTCACAAGTGTACAAGCGACGTGGAAAGAGTTTTCTCGCTTCTATTTATATTGATGACCGCAGAATTCACCTGTGTCAATTCACAGCTAGTGTATTTTATTTCAGCTTTGTGGACGAAAATTTCAACTTGGCCATAAGACACTGGAAAATTGTCAGAAAATTTCAGATGCCTATGATGTCCTTTTACACCACAAGAACCAGTTTCTCATTGACAATGTCCCGTTTAGTACGACGTTGATACCACAACTGAGACACGCTTGCCAATTTTTGAAGGATGGTTACCACTATTTTACCGAAACTTTTGACAAAATATCACAGGTAATGTATACAAACTAATACTAAGAAATGTTGAATTAATGTCAAGTAAAACACGTCTGAATGACGCTGTGAAATTAATGGTAGTGTATGTACTTTAAACAAATTGCACGAATATTGTAGTATAATCAGAAAACCCTGATTGCAAATATGGTGTAATAGATTGGACATAATTTTGAAGGAATCCAAGGATACGACGCCCAACTGTCTCTACACTTTGCTTTTACAAGAGCATGAGGAGGGATTGATATCAACGGAAAATATAAAAGGTGTCATGGTGGATTCCCTGCTTGCAGGTAATACTGTAAAAATAAGATGAAGCCGTATTCTTTCTAGTTCATATATCTCTATACAGAAATAGTTTTGTACTATTCCTGTCACCCAAGAAAATGTAAATAATAATCACTTCACAGATTCCAGGTCCCAAACTAAATCACTATTTTCTATTATGTGGATAGGTGTTATCACAACAAAACCAACCATGTACAATGCCCTAGCTGCAATGGTAAACTTCCCTGAGGTTCAGAAGAAGATCCAGGAGGAGATCCAGAGAGTGGTTGGAAAGGACCGACTTCCTGGTTTGGAGGACCGGAACAAAATGCCCTACAGTAAGGCTGTGGAATTAGAATTATATCGCTACTACACTCCTATCGGTACGCTCTGGACCAAGGAACACTACCCAGGACTGCAGCTTTAAAGGTTACAGCATCCCCAAGGGCACAAGGGTACGTATTCGAAGTACTGAAGGGCAACATATCCGCAAAATACACTTAAAAGAAAGTAGGGCTATTCCGTTCACATCAGGAGTAGACTACAATCACCAGCTGCTGAGGAGTTGATATAAATCCAGCAGATATCCAGATATTAAATCCATGCAGGTAGCAAAGTCTTGTAAGTCCTCATGATCCCTAGTATGGTGATCAACCTTCAGTTGCTGGTGATCTATAGTCCGTCTTTTTTATATTATACTGTTGTCTCTAGTGATTTATTTTTATGATAGCGTACTAATTTTATATGAAGAGCTGTGATAACCTAGTATTTTTACTGTCCTGCGATGACAAGTTTTACGAACTAGTTTTTATTTATTTCACTATTGATATAAATTAAATTGCTCTCGTCACGTCACGATGTGACGCTAAACATTAACTCACAAACTCACTCACATCAGGAGTATGTACCCGTGATCAAAGTACGAAAGTCAAATTGAAGATGAGCTTCACAAGCTTACAGATGTTAGCATCATTTGTAATCAGCAACATGGATGGAGTTTTCCCACGATTGACAGACTGGCTCATTACCGCAAGACGTCGTTCGTGCCAAGAACTGCAGGTGAATCAAACGTTTTGGTGCAAACGTTATATTTTTAAGGGAACTGAGGTTGTCTTTGGACTTCACTGACAGATTGACACCTGTGGTTGAAAGGGAATGGGCATTTTCACGCCGCTAATGTTAGACAGAACGATCCTTTTGGGATAGGCTCAGTAATGGTGATGGTGTGTTATTCACGTGATTTTGTTATTCACTGACGTTTCACTGGGCAGTTCTACCGTCACAACATCCTTGAGGAACACGTGGTGCCACTGATACGCCAACATAGACCTCGTTTTGTGTTTCACGATGGCATCGCAGGAACACAGGCGTATTGTTACCGACTACCTCCAACAGGAGGACATAACCACCTTCCCATGGCCAAACCTCAGTGTTGACACACTCTGTCGCTGTTTTGGCATCTATTGGGCTAGTTACTGTTACATTTCCATCTTTTGGAATGTCATATACAAATTATATCATCACAGTAAGTTTATCATATGGTTAGCCTAAAATATTGGCTAACTTTGCCATTTTCTTATTTCACTTGGTAAAGTGCAGAGCGACTGACACCTCGCCCCTAGTCTGTCTCACAGTCCCTGAACCACATTATTTTCCCTACTGCCAAGCCCTCTCTGCAATGCTTAAGCCCTAAATAAAGCAAGTCTAGATTTCCTCAAGTTCGGGGTCTGTTAACATCTGCAAGAAAACTAACTCACTTTGGGGGTCGGATTACAAAGTAAATATATCTAACTGCCATGGCTGGCTGGACCAACATCCTCACCAGTTGTCTGGAATCTTGCCTCACATTTTCATCTGTCAACTCTTAATTAACAAGCACATTGGGTGACATGAAGCTATAGTGGAGGCCTTGTGCATAGTTTCTGGTCTTAAAGAGACAAATCAAGCAAAATCTTGGGGAAAGGTTCCTCCTGAATGTAATGTTGTAAAAAAGTATTGTTTCATTGTCTGACTTGGTTCCACACATAGCAGCCCAATTGTAAATGCGGTTAAGCATTTAATTGTAATTAAAACAAGGGTTATTTTTCTTATACCTGATATAAGACTATTGTGTTAAACTCTGGTGTGTTTTGAGTATCTCTTTTTTATCTAATTGCTCAACAGTAAAACATATGGCAGGGACCTAGCATGAAGAGTGAGTGAGTGAGTTTGGGTTTACACCGCATTCAGTAATATTCCATATATGGCGCCGGTCTGTAAATAAGTCGAGTCTGGACCAGACAATCCAGTGGTCAACAGCATGAGCATCTACACAATTGGGATACGACGACATGTGTCAACCAAGTCAGCAAGCCTGACCACCCGACCCCGTTAGTCGCCTTCTCATGAAAAACCAAATTCAAAAGGCACAGCATCTCGGAATTGAATCTGTTTACCTTTGTGATGTGATTGAGGCATGCAAGGTGAAATCTAGTGATGATGATGTAGTATTTAGAAATACCCAGAACATCTTCAAGCGTAAGACAGACGCTGGCCCCATTGAACAGTTTGTTTAAAAAAAGGTGGTTATCTATATCCTCTTAGCATATATACAGATGGAAACGTTTGAATTTGGAGATAAGTTCAAATTCATAAATAATTTTGTTGGTGTTCCACACAGATCTTGCACCTTGGTCATCTATAGTCCAAGTGACATTGTGGGCTGCAAGTTTCCCAACAGTAAAATGTTAGGCAGTAGGGGCACTTGACCGGCCCACATGAGGTGATGACAGCATGGAGATAGGACAGGGCTTAACAGGAGGGCCAATAAATATGCCTTTCACTTATAGCGTTATCTGATGGTTGTATGATGTGACTTCTAATTGGTAATAGCCCCAGCGCGTGTAGCCCCAATGCAGATATTTTTGTCTCTGAATCTCCGATTTCCCTAGGGCTCCTTTTCAATATAAATTGACTTGTTTGTTACTATCAAAATTATATATATTCAGAGACTAAGCCTTAGTCTACCTTGCCCCATGTGCGAACACTTGGCGAACACTTCTTTTGTCTTCGATATTGATGGGCTGGGATATAATGATATATTTTAACACAATCGAGGTAACATCTACCCATGCATAATGTGCTGCCAATTATGTCAGACTGTATCGAAAAGGCGTAAACACCATGATTTGCTATCTAAACTTGTAATGTTTTCACCTGTTCACCCCAGACCTAGCCTAAAACGATTGTAAAATGCGGGAAGCCCAATTTACGGCGATAGACCACACTCACTCACTCACTGAAATGATTGAGTCCACTCTCTTTTGGTCGTGGCATTCACGCATCTATAGGTTATGTTTATTTGGTGAATTATGTTTAGAAAAAATGACCTGTTGATCATTGATCATTTAAAGGGTGCCTTGGATTTATGTCAATTTGTGAATTCTGTGTCTCAAAGAGTGTGAAACAAAGCAAGGGAGTCTTTAATGTTGACTTTAATATGAATATCGAGGAAATATCTCAGTGGTCAAAAGGTCCTTCAACTTAAGCGATATTTCGTAGGAAGGAAAAGGAATTTACAACTTCTGTTTACATTGCCACCCCCCTTGTCTTTTTGATTGTGTCATAATGAACTGTCAATCATTCATTGTTCGTCCATTTTGTTCCCCCAGCTGTCAGATGCAAGAATTGCTAAGACGTTGGTAACGTTTCGTCTCAATGCAGAAGTTGGCTCCAGATTCCATTCTAGACAGTCCCCCTTCAAAATCCTTGTTCGAAGTCATTGCCGGTTATTTCTTCATTGTTCACTTGCATCTATCAAGTGGATCCACCCACACCCTTTAAAACTACTCCTCCGCTTATCCTTAAGTCAGGATTGTGCTGTGAATCGTGTTCCATTATAGACGGGAGTCTCCAAAGATTCTTCCAAGTTCGTACTGCTAGAGCTTTCTTGGCCCTCGATATGATTCATGATCATATGTCAGTTGCTGCTTCAGAACGTATAGCATTTCTAATGGCACAGGGATGGATGTTCATGTAACAACCATTTTTACATATTCATTACCACTATTGCAGCTATTCAGTTAATGGGTACAGAAATGATATTTTTACAAAATATGAAACTAGACACCATTTTGAATACTAAATATATCTCATGTGATATTGAATGGTTTCCATTGTTTATATTTTCTGCTGCTGCATCATCACCGTCCACTCTCAATTTACTAGGGATGACAATGAGCTAAAATAAACCCAGTTGATATTGCACGTTTGATTAAAAAATGCCTCGTCGAATCTGTGAATGTCTATGTAGGACAGAGGCAGATTCATGCCATATAAATCCGTTTTACTTTCCATGGTAAAGGACATGAAGGATAGTGGACCAGTCATCTAACGAAATCTATCTGACGTTCAACGACTAATGCAAATCTCAATCTGACTTCCCTGTTACACTGTAAAACTATTTATATCATTAAAGAGAATATCAATAGTTGTAACAACTGTATCTTGGATATCCCTCACTACATTAACAGAACAGTTTCATTGAAAATTGTATTTTTCATCGTATATTTATCCTAGGGTTTTGTAGTACACTTATATTCTTTGACATTAGAACATAATACATTGTTCACAATAATGACAAGAATCTCTTTATGAAGGTTATTTACAACGTATGGCGTGTACACCACGACGAATCATTTTGGGAGAATCCCTTCACGTTTGATCCAACCAGATTCTTGGATGATAATGGCGAACTTCTGCCATCGGAGGATGAAAAGCGTCAGAGGTAGATCTGCATATAGCCGAATTCATGGTTTCCAGCAGGGGAAAAAGAAAGCTTATACACAAAGAGGTCCCATACGTTGAATACATACCTGTGAAATAAAACCTAAACATTCTTTCATGGCTGTTGAATAAGCTGTAAGTTATCCTTGGATCGGTGGCATAATTGATGAGGTGTCGTTATAGGTCCTACCATCCTCCCGTCGCAATGCAACCCCACCCGTCTGGTGGTACCTGTGGAAAAGTTATACTGTTTATTTTCAATTATTCGGACAACTTGGAATACCGCAAAAACAAACTGTATCCACACTTTGCCATTTTGTCTGGTCATGGGGAGGCTGCCTTGGCGGCAGTTTTAAGCGTTTGCTTAGCTCGGTAGTATGAACGATGATGAGTACCCCTTAAAGCATACATACTTTGACTGATGCGTATATTACGCGTTGTTCATGCATGATATGAACGTTCATTATGATCAGATGTTAGGTCTGGACACAACGCCATGGGACTGTAAATCATAGGTACATTCAAATCATTACGCAATGTAGGTAGTATAAACATACACATGATTACACGTGTTCTGTATTACTTTGCAGACTGCTGACGTTTGGTGTCGGAAAGCGTTCTTGTATTGGTGAGAAGCTGGCCCGAGTCAGGATATTTCTTGGACTGACGTCTATCCTGCAAAACTTCGACCTTGTTCGTGATCCGTCAGAGCCTTTCCCTTCATCCGACCCGAGCACATACGAGCCTAAATTTATCTTACAGCCACCTCCATACAGGCTGCAGTTCAAACCCTAGACATTGAAAGTCGCATTGTCCCTGTTTACGACACACGCATAAGCTTTGAGATTTGTCGAAAGTGTTAGAGCTTCTGTCGTGAGCCATTCTCCCTGATAACCCCTAAATTTACGTGTATCTCGACAGGAACTAATTGAAGTCATTATAGTTATGGATATACATGTGACGTCTTCATAATCAACCCATGTGACAAGTATATTATCAACTTCGACTAATTCAAAATGGATTTAATTTCTGTATGCTTAGTCATTGTTATACTTTTGTAGTTAATCTAGACGTTTCATGCCACATCTTATACTGAGGAACTATCAATGAGATCGTGAGATGTTATTTCTTGAAAGACAAGCGATATATTGCCTGCGTAACCTTTCACTGCATTAAGAGAGGGTTGAGTTGAGTTGAGTTGGGCTTTACGTCACATCGGCATTATTCCAGCCATATAGTGACGAGAACAAGTCTGCATTAATATACATTGTAAGTACAAAGTGGTTTCGTTTCAAAGACACACATTCATTACATTGTCATTTTGGAACAGAATGTCATAGCACTAAATTGAAAAGCAGGTAAATTCGTTAGTGACATTACACAGTTACAATTTATGATATAGATCAACTTCCCTCAGGTAGTTCAGTATCAGATGAGCGCTCACGCTGGAGAACAAATCTTCAGATTGGTTGCGTGATAATGCGAGTCCCTTGCAGATGTAAAGTCCACACAGTCAAGCAGAATATGCTTGACGGTGAAAGCCTCATCGCAGGAGAGACATATTAGGGTCCATCCCCATCCGTTTTTAGTAGATAGTCATGTGTAAATCGACTGTGGCCAATACGACATCGTCGTAAAATTACTTCATCACGTCTTGACTGGCATCCCAAGTAGGTATAACCGATTGTTTGCTTCAATTCATGGAGTTTGTTTCTTCCTACTTGAGTGTCCCACCTTTTTTGCATCAGGTCCCGAGTATAGCTTCTGATAGTGGGTTTGAAATCACTGTACGGGATTAGCAGTGGATAATTTTTTCAAGAGCTGCTTTTGCTGCAGCATCGGCCTTAGTGTTACCTGCTATGCCGACGTGACCCGGCAACCAGCAGAGGACGATGTCATATTGGCCAGTAGAAAGGTCGTTGTACAGTTGTATTATGTCCAGGATGATTGGGTGACTTGAAGTCACGTTTAGAAGTGCTTGAAGGCAGGATAATGAATCTGTAAAAACGATGAAGTTTTAGGACTGATTTTGCTGTTGAATGTAGGTCAAAGCTGAGAAGATAGCTTTGGCTTCAGCGGTGAAAATGGAACTGTTGTCGGGGATCCTAGAGGAGACAGTCTTGGATCCAATGACTGCAGCACTGGCAACATGGCCATCATCCTTGGATCCGTCTGTGAAAATGGATATGTGAGTGTTATACTTCGAACGTAACTGGTTGAATTCCTGTTGGAACACCAAGGGATTTGTTTCAGACTTTTTGAGTTTGGTGAGGGTGAGATCGACCTGTGGTTTCACCATTTGCCATGGTGGAGAGGACAGAAGTCGGTATGGTGCAATGATGTTGAGATCAATTTTAGCTGCAGATATGTGGGTTTGATCCTGATTCGAAGTGGTGGAACCAGGCTTGGCCTGTTTAGGAAATAAGTTTTCATAGAGCGGGTTGAAAACACAATTGTATGCTGGATTGGACTCATTTGAACGTAATTTAGTGATATACTGCAGTGAGAGTTTAATGCGGCGTTGTTCAAGGGAAGGTTCATTGGCCTCCGCATATAGACTGTCTACCGGAGAGGTCCTAAAAGCTCCCAGGCAGAGCCTCAGCCCTTGGTGGTGGATAGAGTCTAGTTTTTCTAAATTGCTTTTGCAGGCTCCACCGTAGACAATGGAGCCATAATCTAGTTTACTGCGAACTAATGATCTGTACAAGTGAAGGAGGGTGGTCTGATCCCCTCCCCACTCTGTATTTGAGACTACTTTTAGCAAGTCTAGAGCCTTCAAGCATTTTGTTTTCAAATATTTTATGTGTGGTAAGAACGTCAGGTGGCGGTCGAATATGAGTCCAAGGAATTTGGCCTCTTCTACAACCTTGATGGGAGTACCATCTAAAGTTAGGTCTGGATCCTTGTGTGGTTTGTATTTACGACAAAAGTGAATACAATTTGTTTTGGATTTTGAAAACTTAAAACCATTTTCATTGGCCCATTTTTGGATTTTGTTAAGGCAGAGTTGTAGCTGCCTTTCTATTGCGTGCATGTTCTTACCACGACATGAAATAGTGAATTCATCCACGAAAAGGGTCCCGTCAACGCAACTGTTCAGAACGTCAGTGAGGCTGTTAATTTTGATGCTAAAACGTGTGACAGACAGGATGCTGCCTTGGGGGACGCCCTGATCTTGGTGGAAATAGTCAGACAGTGTGGAACCCACCCGAACTTGAAATTGTCTGTTATTTAAAAACTGAGATATGAATTGAGGTAGTCTACCCCTCAATCCAAACTCGTGTAAATCTTTTAGGATACCATGTTTCCACGTTAGATCATATGCTTTTTCTAAGTCGAAAAAGATAGATACGGTATGTTGTTTGTTGACAATGGAGTTTTTGATGAATGATTCGAGACGCACCAGATGGTCATTGGAGGTCACTGAGGAGGTTATTGGTCTCCAGGTACCAGATTAATCGATTGTTGACCATGCGCTCCATGGTTTTGCAAACGCAGCTAGTTAGTGATATAGGACGGTAGTTTGAGGGATCGGTATGATCGCGGCCGGGTTTTGGTATAGGGATGATAATGGCATTGTGCCACGAAGGGGGAAAGTGTCCGGATGTCCAGATGTCATCAAATATATTTAGGAGTGTTTCCAAGCCTGTGTCAGGAGGTGTTTCAGAAGCTGATAATGGATTTCATCAGCTCCTGCCGCAGTGTCGTGAGCCTGTCCTAGGGCAGTACGTAATTCATGGAGGGAAAACGTTTCGTTGTAATCCTCCCCATTATCAGAGTTAAAATTGACTGGTTTCTTTTCTTGTTGGGTTTGGTATTTCTGGAACTGAGGGTTATAATTTGATGAGGAGGAGTGGTTTGCCAAAGTTTCGCCAAGTTTGTTTGCAATTTCAGATTTGTTTGTGAGGAGGGAGTCACCATCTTTCATGGGGTGAACTCCTGATTTTGACCCTTTGCCCTTAATCTTTTAAATCATGTTCCACACCTTGGACATGGGTGTGCGGGGGTTGATTTTTGACACATATTTCCTCCATGACCGGCGTTTAGTTTGTTTGAAGGTACGTTTTGCCCTGGCATTTGTCATTTTAACAGCATTCAGGTTATGCACTGTAGGATGATGTCGGAAATATTTTTCCGCCTTCTTCCTATTTTTCCTAGCTTGTTTGCAGTTTGTATCAAACCATGGTTTGCGTATGTGCGGGTTTGCAGAGGACTTTGGAATAGTTTTGTCTCCGATGGCATTTAGGACGTCTGAAAATAGTTCCATGGGGTCAGGAACATTCCTGAAGTTGTCCGGCTTAAGTTTTTCTGAACATAGGGTTTGGAATAAAGGCCAATTGGCCTTAGTAACATTCCATCTTGTTGATGGTGGTTCATCCGTGGGTTGATAGGAGTAAGAATTGTTGGGAGTGGTCTTTTCCACAAAGGTCGTCATGGACCGACCATTCGAACTCATTTAAAAGATTAGAATCTGTAAGTGATAGATCGAGAGCAGAGTATGATCCAGTGGCAGGATGGAGGTAGGTGTTTGATCCATCGTTGAAGATGCATACATCATTATTTGAGAGAAACTTCAAGGACCTTTCCCTTTACTATTTGTATCAGTACTCCCCATAGGGGTTATGGCTGTAGAAGTCGCCCATGATTATGCAGGGCTTTGGGAGTTGATCATATAAGTTCTGAAGATCTGATAGGCGGACAGTTAAGGTGGGAGGGAGATAGAGGGAACATAGTGTAAACCCTATGTTCAGAGTTATGCGGACAGCAACAGTTTGTAGGTTGGTGTTAAGTGGAACAGGGCTATGGAGGATGCCCTGCCTCACCAGGATAGAAGTGCCTCCTGTAGCTTTTACGCCGCGAGGAGAAAAGGAGTGGTAGGAACTGTACCCACGGATGTCAAATTTATCAGTCCTTTTTAGGTAGGTTTCTTGGAGACAAAACGCGGATGGTGTGAAGTCTTGGATCAATAACTGTAATTCATTATAATTATTCTTTAGTCCTCTGCAATTCCATTGGATCATGTTTTGTGGATTCGTGAACGTGAGAAAGCGTTTGATGAACTCCTATTGGTGTCTGGTGGAGATGGAGTTACCTCCATATCCAGAGGGCCAAAGGAGTTATGGACCTCGATGGGGACCTCTGAGGGAGAGGTGGCCTTTGGTTTTGTGTTTGGCGGTTGTTCGAGTTGCTTTTGTCTCTCTCCTCCTTTTTTTTCCCTTTTCTATGCGCGCAGTTTCTGTTTCTGGTTTTGGCATTTGCTCTGGTGTTTGCGATTCAGAGGTTTTGACTTTTGGCGTTGGAGATGGAGTGGCTGAGATGGGCTCAGTTGTGTTGAGTTGAGTTGGCTGAGAAGACATGATCCATGTCAGGTCGGTCTGACATGAGATGGTTGCAGTAGCGATAGAAGGACGGGAGACAGCAGAAGAGTAGGTGATGGTTGAAGGGGCTGCAGTTAAACTTGCAACCCTCTTCTTTGCTTCATGAAAGGAGATATTTTCTTTGTGCTTGATCTTTAGGATCTCGGATTTTTGCCATTAAGAGAGGGGCGGAGATAATATTTTTCCCTACGCAAGAAGTTGCTCGCTGATATTGAAGGTATGTTGGCCAAATATGCAACAGCCGTTATTCCTATATGTGCATTTGAACTATAACATGTGATTTTATTCCGGAACATTACTATTCACGAGAGGGGTGTTAGTTTCTGAGAGCAGTATTTATAGCAAAGGTTATCCGGATGTTTTTGAAAGGATTGTATGATTATGAAACAGCAAATGCTTCTACCCGTTACAATTACAATACAAATTGCACAACGTAATTAGTT